TGTCTTTTTTGTGCTAAAAGGAATGATCATAGAGTCTACACTAAAGTCAGGTTCATCCTTTTGAGAGTATGAAACTGTCAGCGAGTTTATTGCAATCAGCCCATCGATTTTGAGCAGAGAGTAATGCTGGCAGAAGCCAAAGGCCACCAAGAACATTATGACTTATCCTCAGGGGACTATTACAGCAACAGCAGCAGGACACTGTACAGTGTGTATATATGTATACTGATTCAAAACAAACAACAGTGTACTCTAACTGTTGGTAATGAAGGAACAGAGTGGTTCACTGATGTGTTTTTAATAGTTTTTGGACAACAGTCGAGCTCTAGGGCACATAGGAATAAGATACTGTATATCAGGCTTGGGATAGGCAGATAGTTTTGCCAGGATCCATCAGTGAATATTTTTAAAGTTGTAACATGAATATTAGTGAATTTTTGTACATATGTTACATGTAATAATGCCCCAAAACTACGTTTGATTTAGTTGTTGTTGATTAATAATGTTAGTAAGAGGTTGCAACAGCCCGTGGCTAGCGCGCGCTCACACTAAATACAGGCCACGTGCATACCGCTAATTAAAAGCCACGAGGGGGCGGGGCTTAGGGAGATCAGGTGGGGTGCTCCACCGTGACTTCATCTCTCAGCAGAGGAGGCAGGAGGATGGCAGGAGGACTCAGCGCTGCACTTTGCTCTCGGTGCTGTCTGTGACGGACACAGTAGCGCATACTTTCAGAAAACAATAGTTATTTCTCTCCCGATTTAAACCTGGTGCAGGGACATGTGAGCGCTGAGACGAAGGTAAGACTTTTTCTTCCTCTTCTTCTCCCTTCATCACACCGCTTATTATTTAAAAATCAGGTGGTGATTGTGATGATTGATTTTTTTTAAATAGAACTGCTTGGCGCATTGTGAAAATTGTAATGCAAATTCATGTAGCCTAATGTTCAGTGTTTGTTTATTCTTTGCATATTTAAAAAGTATTTCAAACCTAATAAAAGTAAAGAGCAGTGTTTCATCTTTATAATGAAGAAAAACAACAGGCTGTTGCCCTTTTCAGCTTCAGTTAGGTTTATATTCAGAACAATTTTTCTCAACAGGTAGGCCATCTTAATCTGAAAAACATTAATGGAAATGGGAAATACACATATTTTAAGATTTTAAAGAGCATTATGAATAATTTTGATTTTAGGAGACTGCAAAGGTTTGAAGCTTGAAAAACAAATGCTTTCGGTATCTGCCATTTAGGGGGAAATGAGAACACAGCGTCTTCAGATGGATAAAGTCATAAAACACTTTTGTTCTTTCTGAAGGGCAGTGTGCACAGTTGATAACACAATTATTTATGTCATGAAGGTAGTGATTTATGAACTTCTGGCAGTGACTGGTCCTGCAAGAGAATAGCCTGTATAGCATTTTAAAAATGGACTTCAATTCATCATGGTAGTGCACTGTGCCAGAGACCTGACACCAACTATTAAACCACAGAAGAAGCAAATGCCACCTGAAATGTACATCAGCCCACACTGGCAGCAGAACAGATCACAGCCTTAAGAAGTTTTGTGTGTGAACAGGTTGTTGGATTTGGATTGTTTGCTGAGACAATGTGAGCTGCTGGGCATTTATTCCAGTGAACATTTAACTTCTAAGAATGTTTCTTAGTGGTGTTCTTGTGGAGATTTGAATACTTTTCAAGAGATACAGCATTGGTCATCGTTTGAGTCATCTATTAGGATAAATGGAAAACATTCAAAAGGTCCCAGCTTTCCTAATAATATATATGGGCCGATGTCTTGGACAGGTTTCACAATTTCTTTGGACATTTATTAAACTGGAGAGAAGGTTACAGTAAATGACCAAGCTCTTTTTTTTTGCAACTTTGAGGATACATTTATTTATGTATAATGTATAATGAATGTAAAAAAATCTGACACCTGTGCAGAGATATCTCGATGTATTATAAAGTGATAGCAAGTGACTTCCCTGAGCTGCTGCACAAAATAATGTGAAACAGGCTTATGTTAATATTGTGATTGTTACCCTTGTGATAATAATGTTGTTCTGTGTCCATGAACTGCTGCTGTTCTGATTGAATGTCCCCATGGTCAGGCTACATTAAGCCTTTTAATATGCTCACTATCATTCCCTCTCCTAACACAAACTCTGATTCCAATAAGAGATCTAATTGGCTGCCAATTTTGTAATGGCCACTCCGACTGAGGAGGACAGTGTCTTCAAGGGCAAAGCACTATATTTCCATGAGAACCCCTAATGCAGTAACCTGAATTGTGTACCTTTAGATTTCAGATGGTACTGTAGGAGTGTGATGAGGTTCACTGATAGCTTTTAATCAAATATTATCTGCGGAGATGGTGGGATGTGTGCACTCTCTCTGCAGGTCAGCTAAAAGGGGTAGAACTAGTGATGATTCCCATTATCTGTTAAGCTCTACATTATTATTACATTATTTTTTAGTTTATAAAATGAAAATGGTCAAAACCTATCACAGTCTTCAGCTTTATCTCTCTGACCAGTTCCAACCTCCAAAACACTGAATTTACAATTACATAAAATAGAAACAAGCATCAAAACCTCATAATTGAGAAGCTGAAATAAACAAAATATGAAAATGAAATAACACATTACACCAGGTCATTTTAGCCCCTTTTCCAACACCTGGTATCGGCTCAACTCGACTTGACTTATTTGTGTTTCTATCAAATGTTGGGCATAGCACCTGGTACCTACTATTTTTGGTATCACCTTTGTCAAGTTTCCAACCAAGCAGAGGCGATATCAAACGGTGATGTATAAACACTGCAGTCTAGCAATTGGTCAGAGAAATTGTGTCAGTGTGTGAGATGTCCTGGAACAAAGAAAGTGCCATGTTTAAAAGCAATGTTATTTAATGCTAACCGCTACTTTACTGTACTAACTAAAGCCAGCCACATACTGAGAATCAAGAACAACATACCTTCAATGTCCTCCACTGTTACTGTTGGTTGCTGACAACATCATGGCAGTGTGTCACTATGCCAACCGGCTACACTGAGAGGGGACCATCTGCAGTGGAAAACCAAGGACCTGGTACCACAAGCGAGTACAGTTCAGTCAAGTAGAGTTGAACCAGTACCAGGCAATGGAAAAGCGGATTTTGCCACAGCGCTGCTATCACATTGCTGCCTCTTCCATAGTAATACATGTATGAATTAAACATGAAAGAGGAGTTTTTACTTAAGCAGTTCAGCTGTGATTTCAGACCTGGGGCCAACACAGAACATGCATAAGTTTCATCCCTCAGGACAAAAATGTGTCACCTCAGATTTACTCTGGTTTTTATCTTCAGAAGAGACTTGTATGTCTTTAAATACATGTTGCAGTGCCTTGACAGTACAGTACTGTAGAATTAGTGCATACTGTTCCTCATTTCATGTTGTTTTACCTTTGTTGAATTGTTTCAACTGTATTAACTGAGTCAGGATAATCTACTGTATGGAGTGTTTGACAGAAGCCTTAAACACAAGAGGGCTGGGAAAATAAACTTTTTATACGAGGCTAATCACTTTTTGTACGCAGTGAAATCGCATTACAACCAGAAATGACTTCCAAATATCATTACGCTGAGCTATTCTGCTAAAACAATCCTAGATATCCATTCACAGCCTACTTCATTTCAAGTACCCCTCTGGCCACTGATACGGAAATCCCAGCATCAAGTATTTATTTAGATGAATTTCGTTCTGCCTCCTGGTGGGATTTGCAATGAGTGAAAGCCTTTCATCCAGCACAAACATGTAATAAGTGTGATTTGGCATTGCTGCTTTGCATTTTTTTTTTTTTTTTTTTTTGTCTCACTCACATTTATCTCCCTCACTGACATCTCAGGTCACCTAATTCCTACTCTGTCAGCCAAAAGTTGACTTACAGCCCAGCTTGCAGACACAAGATATTCAAGGAAGCCATCACAGGCTGTGATTGAATGTCTGTCCTTAAAAACCTAATCTGCTTTCATTTATCTTTGTTATCCCCGCATGGCTGGCTGGTTTACTCATAATGCCGCAGATGATTTTTCTTTTGCCCCCAAGGATCATTTTTACCTCTGTTGTGTTATCTTGTTTCTCCTTTGTGTCATAATCCCTGCTACGCCAACTGCTCAAGAATACCGCCTCTGTAGAGGGATGGTTTCCTTTAAATCAATTTGCATGGTTAACTAAAGGTTAAGATAAAATAAGATATTAATAATGGCATGTTTTGTCAGTTGTTTGCTTGCAGAGGCAAGAATGCAAACAGGGTATAATGTTTTCTGGAAGAATAGGAAATTGTGAATGCCACTTAGTTCACTCAAGCATAACCCCTGTGTTCTCAAAAACAGCTGTAACAAAGGGAGAAGCATTTACAAATGGAGAGACTTTGGACTGGGTGATATTCTTATGATTTAATCATAGCTGGGCGCAACGATTGTGTTTTATTTTGTGCCAAGTTTTCATAATTCCTGTGCTGTCAAAGTTAGAACAGCACTTAAATGATAACGATCCTGTTTTGAGTATTGAGTATCATTATTTATTATTCTTTTCTTGTTTCAACAGGTTTCCCGCAATAAAGCTTTTCATCATTGCTGAAGATGACGTTCAGCGACTGCAACTTAAAACATGAATTTCTTTTTAAGCTTTTCTGTACTAAATATGACAAACTGTGGCATTGTTTCCCATTCTAAATGACATTCTGCCAAGGAACCCTGGCCAAGGCCATGTGATTGACAGGAATCACACCTTCTACAAATTAACAAAGAACCGTTTTGTGCAGCAGGAAAAGCTTTTTGGTTTCCTGCTTCAGGAGGAGCAGAAAAAGAACAGAGCATTAAGGCCATATTAACTGAGGAGCACATGTGGCATTTGTGCTATCTGCAAGA